AAGCCCTGGGTTCCCCTGGGCTGGATTGGACACCACTCTAGGCTTCCCCTGAGTACAAGACAGATGGATTAAAGCACTCATTGTTTTATGGTGGATTTTTAAATTGATTTGATTTAGGTTATGCCCTGGAGACTTGTGGAACACACTTCTAGGTGTGTTTGTGGGTCATGGAGGTATAGCCTTGGGTGTATATCTGCTCTCTTGCCTCTTCTGCTCTGTCACTCTGTCACCCTGCTCTGCTTCCTTATCACCATGAACTAAGCAGCTTCACCTTGCCACTGTGAACTCCCCAATTAAGGCCATCCTGCCAAGCTCCTACAAAGTAGTCATAAGACAATATAATACAGTAACACTGATCAAAACTATAGAATATTAAAACAAATCTTTGATGTAAGACTCATTCATTTCTTCCAATGAGCCCTGACCCATTTTCTAAAAGTTAATGTGTATAAATCTCTCTGAAGCTAAAAGAACTTCTGTGGGGCTAGAAGAAATGCTATTTTCAGATTGCAACTTTAAACATATAATTTTGGACCCAATGCAGGTGACGCTGAGGTATATTTGGGCTGGGGCAAACCCGTCAACTGGGTAGAATGTATCAAAGTAATGGAAACTCAGAGCATGTGTACAGAACAACAGGATGACTATGCACGTCCTGAAAACTGTACATGAAACCAACCAGAAAAGTGCTATTTCCAATTCTTTATTTACATCTGGTGGGAAACCAAATTAGTCTTTCCATAAGGTAGTTAAAATATAGTGACAGGCTAAGTGAGTTTTTGATAGGACAAGTGTCCCAATACCTTATTTGATGAGTAAGAAGCCAATACAGGAATTCCAGATACAAAAGACCTCTATCCCTTATCCTTGAGGTCACTGTGAGTCTCTGCCAGCCTGCTCTAACTCTGCAGAGGGTGTTTTGTTTCCACCTTTAACAAATATGCATTTCTGAAACTTTTCTATGTGTCTTGTCCAATTCTTTGCTTAGGATACCAACAATCCTGGAAACAATCACCCTGGGGCTCATCATCCAGTAACACTCTTGGAAGCTCTATAAGTACTAGATAATCTGGAAAATATATATACTTCACATAATCAGAGGATTGGGGATTTAGCTCAGTGGTTCCAATGCCTGCTTTGTGAGTGCAAGGTCCTGAGTTCAGTCCCCAATATCAAAAACAAACAAACAAACAAACAACCCCAGATCATCACATTTGCTGCTAGACTCCCTCCCCATTTTCCCAAATCCTTATAAAGACCCCAATCTCTTACTTTGACGGTGTGATTCCTGTCTTAGAATTCATCTAATGTCCTTCTTGACAGTGAGCTCTGGCCCAAATAATCACATACTCTTGCCTTGGTAAATTATTTCTATTATCTATGTCTCCAGCCCTCCATATACTCTCTTTTATAAAAAAATCATTAAATTTATTGGTACATTTTAGGTATACAATATGATGACATTCATCATTAGAAGTTTGTACCTTTATATAATATATCATGGTTCTTATTTTTTTCCCATTCCCCTGCCCTCCCTTCAACCTCTCCACTCCTCTCTATTTCCAAAAGCTTTGTTTCTGTTTTTTTTCCTTACTATCTATTTTAGGGATAGGGGAAAGGAAACAAGGGAAAGGAACAAATATGAGAAAAGGAGAAAAATGGAAGCAAAGTCTTTTCCTGACTATCTTGAAAGGCACTTACCTTCTCTTGCTTCTGTCTTCCTACCTTCATATTTCTCCCTCTTTTCTTATTTAACCTCCCTCCTCTTTGTCTGTTCTTTCCTCTTTTTATTTCTTGCTTCTTGGCACATTGAGATAGTAATTAGTAGTTTCTTTTGAAGCTTGAGAGAGATAGTGAGAGTGGGTAGAGAAATGCAGCTGATGGAGTTGCTATAGGCCAGATCTTGAAAGTCCTCATGTTTATACATTTTTTCTTAGACTAGAGGAAGGCTTTAAAGCAAGAAATAGACACCTCTGAATTAAGCTTTAAAAGATTACTCAGCTGTCAGGAAGGATGGATGCTTTGAATGAGGAGGGAAAAGGAAACCTGCAGCAGAAGGGAGACCTTGAATTTCTATAAACAATTTAAGGGCACAATTTAGCTGGTAAAGCCTAAGAGTAGCAGAGTTTGGAGGACACATCATAATGCTGCTTTCACAAAACAAGCACATAATATTTTGAGTGGTGAAATGACTTGATATTATAGTGACTCCACTCACTCCCAATCTGTTTAAAGCTGCCACTGTGGGAGAATCTCATAGGAGGCTATTGCAATTATTCAGGACAGAGATTAGGACAACAGGGACAAAAACTACAAAAGTAATAGGGATAAGTGGACATATTGTAGAAAACAGACTAAGCAGAGCTTGGACTCGTTGACTTGAATAGAGAAGAATGAATCTAAAGTGACTTCCCAATTTGAGACTAAAGGTCTTACACCAAACAAGGAAAGTTACAATAGGAGTCTGTTTGGGATAGCTAGAGGGAAGGAGGCAGCAGGTTAACAATTGAGAGGGCTAAGAAAGAAGGCAATCATAATAGAAAAATCTTTTTCTGCGGCATGGCAGTTGTGGGAAGAAGAAAACATACAAGACCTCAGTGGAAAGTGTGGAACAAGCAGTACCTTGTTTCCATGCAGTTTCCCTTTCTTCCTTTTTTCTTTTTCAAGTAATATATGCACAGTAAATATGTAATATTTATATATAACTTATATAGAGTATAGAGTGGCATAAAATGGAAAGAAATAGTCCCATGACCCATTATTTCTTATCCCCCCCTTTGAGAAAGGGTCTTGCTATGTAGTTCAGGTGGGCCTTGAACTTGCAGCCCAGGCTGGCCTCAAACTCACAGGCCCTCTTCCCTCAGCCTCTTAAGTACTGCAATTACAGGCATATATTTAGATATCTGGCTCCTTATCCCCTTCCCTGCTCTCCAGAAGGAAGTCTTTGGAATTCTTTGGAGGCATGCTTTCTGGTGGTTCCTATATCCAAATATAATACAAATATGCTTACCAGTAGTAGTCCTTCATGTGGGGAATCATGGTTATTTTGCCATTGTTTCTTTAAGGCCATACTGCAGCTGAATGATGAGTCTGTAGTAAAACACTGAAGTTTCACCCTGGATTTAAAAAAAAAAAAATATAATATATGAAGGATCTTTTAAAAAAATAACAAAGCCAAGAGTACTGAACCCTGTTGAACAAAACATTACTCAATCTTCAAACAACACTTGGCTATCTTCAGAACTGAGATGGATGGATAATGGAACAACTATGACCTGATAAAAGTGTTCCTGAGATGATGTTCCTATACCACCTCCTCAAATTAAAATCAAATATAAATGTCCCTATTTTTCTCACAGCTGGTGCATTGCTTTCTCAGAATTTGCCCACTGCTCTCTTGCAGCTTATCAATGAACTCTTCATTTTCCTATATTCCTTGATGCTTGGTATCTTCTTTTTACCACCCACCTCATTAGCTTCTCAAACAATGTGCCTCATCTCTTACTTGATTTATCAATTTTAGACTTTTTACTATGGTATATGGAAATTTATTTGCCACACTGTACCCCATAAAGCAAATATTACATGTTCATCACAAGTTCTTAAATGATACTTGCAAAAACATTTACAAAAAAGTGGAGCTATGTGTGCTAATGTCTCCAATGAATTCCTTTTTCCAGTGATGATAACCTGTTGAGTGGATTCTCTGTGAAAAGCAGTTTTAAGCACTTTAGAGGTATTCACAGTAATATATGCATACCCATGTTTATACCAACACAATTCATAATAACTAAATCTTGGAAGCAGCCTATATGTCCATCAACAGATGAATAAATTTACACACAATGCAGTACTACTCTACTATACAGATGAACTAGAGTCATTTGTAGGAAAATAAATGCACCTTGGGACCATGTTTAGTGAAATAAATCAGACACACAGGCTTAAATATCACATGGTTTCTCTTATATGGAAAATTTAATTATACATAAAGAGCAAAATAAGAGATAATAGGAAATAAGGTGATAGATCTCTTAAATGGGAAGGGACTCAAGAGATGGAAGGGAGAAAAGGGGATAAAAAAGGAATTAAGATGTGTTATGTACATATTCCAACTCTATACAAGAATGTAAACATTATGTAGTCACACGTACTAAAAAATAAGCATTCATTACAAACGGTTACAGGGGATAACAATATGTAAAACACAAGTCGGCTCTCCCCACCTTAAGGGTAAGCAGCAGTAAAAACTGCTGGCAGCGAGGCACTGAAATTAAAACTCTCTTCTTTATTTCTCCTTAGTGAGTGGATGAGGCCAAGCCGGCTGTGTAGCTGGCAGCGTCTTACCAGGGCTGTGGCACTGATATGAAAACCCAAGCCAGTGATGGCGACAGGCGGCACTCTGGCTTTCTCAGAGCAGTCTCTATGGTATTCATACAGGCCTGCCCTCCCCTTGGGTAGACAGTCACGTGACAGTCTCGGGGCGTACGGCCGGGACTCACGTGATCGTGGCCTGCAGTCTTATGGCTGCGGTGAGGTACCTGGGCTCCTGAAGGGCGGGCGATTAGGTCAAAACCGCTACCGGCGGACTCACCTGGGCGGCCAGTCTCCGCAGCTACCAGCCAGAGGAGCCGTTCACTGTTTATGGCCTAAGGCAGGGTTCCGCGCTTTCTGCTGCCTCTGCCTTTGCGGTGCCCACCTCTTTGCGGGTGAAGTTACTTCTGGGTTTCGAGACCTTGGGGCGTGAGGCCCAAACTCCGGACGAGTTCCCAACCCACCTCTTTTTCCCTCTAATCCTTTCTTACGTCACCGATAATTTCGCTTTTGAGCAGGCCCGCTCGGCCTTTCCTTGAGACCAGGCTCCGGGTTGTAAAGATAACCGCGGGGAAAGCGGCCCCCCAGTGGACAAAGAAGGAGGCTGGCCTAAGGCCGGCAGCCCATGAGAATAGGCAGTTAAGGGGGTGAACAAGGACAAATAGAGTACTGCGGATTTAGAAGGGACCTGAAAGGACTTGTTGCACGATGGAAGAATATGACTCTGAGAAAAAGATGGAGAAAGAAAATCTAGGGCCGAGAATGGATTCTCCGCTAGGGGAACCGGAAGGATCGCTTGGGTGGGTGAAGGGTATTATGGCAAACCTGAAGGGAGGGTGCTGTACTTGAAGAGAGTATTTATAAGTTAGAATATCTTCCAACTTCCAGTGATAAATTCTTTCAGTTTAACAATAGAGTTGATTGGTATCATGCTTTTGACGATAGGATAAACTGAAAAGGGGACCAGTGTTAACTGGGCAGAAACAGCCCTTGAAATGGGGCTGATATTCTTGGTGTATGTGGGTTATTCTAATTGAGAGGACAGTTCTGAGTTGGTTTAGATTAGTCGAGGCGATTGCATATATCTATGTTGGGGATTAGAACACTAGGAAGAGGATTAACATTTTCTATTTAGAGACCAGTGATTTTAGAGTGCTTTTTGTGCTGATTTGTACCTGAATCTGAGACTTGTGTTATTATGTGGTTCTTTTGCCTTTAATGATTGAAATATGAATTGTAAGGACTGTGAAAGGGCCAAGGTATTTCCAGATTTCAAAAATAAGGAGCTGAATTTGAAAAAAAATAGAGATAATCAAATGTGAAAATATTGTTTTATTATAGTTTGTATACATGTTGCTTTAATTTTTAAAATGATGAAATCTTAACTCTTGAATTTAATAGGTCATTTGTATTCCTAAATAAATTTTCCCAGAAGCTATCTTCGTAGCTTATAATTAGTAGATAGGGAATATAAACCCAGTTTTATAATTTAGAAAAATAACATCCTCTAATGAACTGAGGTCCTCCACATAGTTGTAATCAGCTATCATATTAAGTATACTTTTACACTTCCACGTTTATTTGTATTTCGGTAATTTCAATTTCTAAAACAAATAGATCATGGAAACTCTTATCTTTTGGTTTATATCTGCAGGTGGGTGCTACCAAATACAGCCGTGAAGAAAAAGGTAAGATGTATTAGGTACATCAGAAACATGAAGGTAAAGGTAAGAATTTGCTATTCAGAAATGTTACACACACACACACACACACACACACACACCCCCTCCAGGAATCTTCTATGTGCTCTTCCTGACTCATCTACTTTGCTATTGGACTTAATTTTTCTAATATAAAATTTGACTGTATCATGTCACATACACGTATTACATAGGGTTCTGCCTGCACATTTATTTTTAAATCAACTCAAAAGGTTACAACTATAAGGTTTTATAGGGAATGTTCAGCTGTAACCTGACACTATTTCCTTTTTGCTCTTATGATTCTGTGCCCCACTTTGGGATTTAGGCAGAATCACTAACAGTGCAATTCTGGAGTAAATTTATTAACATTTTTGGTGCTTCAGTGTCCTCATTTGTAAAATGGTAATACCTACTTCATAGGGTTTGTGTGAGGATTAAACAACAAATTCCTGTAGAACCTTTTACATTAGTATTTATATTATGATTAGCCTTTGTAATAGCCTTTTATAAGCATTTGAGGAAAGACCTCTTTATTGAAAAACAAAAGAAATATATTTACTGTTAGTTTCAGCTAATCAGTTTAATAATTACAGTTTGCTAAGGGAATTTCATCATGAGCCTGTCTAAAGTTGCTATCATTAAGGATCCCTAAAAGTACCAGAAATTTCTACATGATTAAGAGCAAAAATTAGATTTAATCATTCCATAATGTATACATGTATCAAAACTTGTTGCATTCCAGAAACATGTATACAATTATTGATTTTTGGTTAAAAATTTTTAAAAGAATAAAAACAAACTTGTTTGTTCCAGCTTTAAAGGCTAATTCAGCAGTCATAATTCTTCAGTGAGATAAAATTACATGACTAAATTGCTAGATTGAATCAAGCATGAGTGCAATACATTTTCATTAATTTTCCTTAAATTTTTAGTAAGTTTTTATAAAATATCTTAAGGTTGAAGGTACAACATGTATCCTTTGCATTTACAAAACAAGGTAATTAGAACTGTATTTAATGTAGTTTTTAATTTTAAAGACGTCTTAAACGTCATTTAATGTCCTTTTCATGAATGCTTTTTTTGTTTGGATGGTTTCTTCTTTGTTTTTGTTTTTGTTTGTTTGTTTGTTTTTTTAATTTCCTGAGACAGGGTCTTGCTGTATAGTTCAGGCTGGCCTTGAAATCACTATGTATCCCAGGCTGGCCCTGAACTTTGGGTGATCCTCCTTCCTCAGCCTCCTGAATGCTGGGATTACAGGCATGTGCCACCATGCCCCATTTATTGAATCCCTTTTAAATGTATTAATATACAGTATCTTTGACAGGTGTTTTTCTCTCTGTGTTAAATGCTAACATTCACAAGAAGGCTGTTTACAGTCATAATACAACACTTTTTACAAGATAGTTGTCAACTTCGAATCTTTGTTTTGATAGCTTGTTCAGCCTTTAGATAAATATATTTTAAAATGTATTACATGTTAGGTACCAGAGATACAAAGAGTACTCTTCTTGCCATTTATGATGAGTGCCTGCAATGCATTATGATCTTTGTAATGATAAACAGTACCATGGGGGTACAGAGGTAAGACCCTTAAGGCAGCCTAAGGTTTTGGGGTCACAGGAAATTCCTCAGGATATGATTATTGAATGAAGTTTTGAAGGATAAATGAAACTTAGTTGAAAGAAGAGAATAGAATGGAATGTTACTGGCATAGAGTACAGCATGAAACAGACCAAGAGGCAGGACTTCCTAGATGGCTGGGAGCAAGAGGACTACAAGCTGTTCAGTGAGGCTAGATGTTTAAATATTCAAACCCAGAGGGGCAAGAGATAAAGACAGCAGTAGGTAAACTAGATCAAGGGGGTTCTTACGTGTAGTTTAAGGACTTCACCCTATAGACCATGGGAAAATTTTTAAAAGAAAAAGAAGTGACAGTAATTAATGGAACTATATTGTAGAGGTAGGTGGAAGTGATGCTATCTAAGGTATAGGTGAAAAGATTGACCTTGAGAAGGAGGAAGACCTTCAGTTATGCTGAAATCCCCTGCTAATAATTCAGTGCAAAAAATACTAGGTTATGGGAGAACAAGGTTTATTTTCCTTTTAAAATGGAATTTTCCTAGCCTAATTCTATTCATGTTAGGTATTGATAATATAAATTCACTAATTTTATTTCCATAAGAATATGTGGCCTTTGGCAGGTAAGTGCCTGGCTTCTGGAATGCTAGGTATATCTGTATTTACTGTTGGTTGAGGAACAGTTTGCTTAGTTATAAGTATCTGCACCAGGTTATTGGTATTGTCATTTCAGTAAAGAATCAAATACGGGAGAGATATAGTTCCTTTACACTAGATTTTCTCTAGATTGCTAACTTTTTGTTCCTTTGTCCCTAGGTGCTGTTGATGGGTAAAAGTGGTTCTGGTAAGACCAGCATGAGATCTATTATCTTTGCAAATTATATTGCCAGAGACACACGTCGCCTTGGTGCAACAAGTAAGATGTTTTATCTTATTGTAAAGTGAGGTGATCTTAAAAATTAATAATATGCATAACACACTTGGTTGTGTTAGCTTGGGATGAAGAGGTTGAGGAATTTGTTTTGAAATATGTTTCCCCCTTTTTCTTCTACCTCAGAGAAATGTGGCCTCATTCTACTTATTACTGCTTGTTTTCCTGGAGAGGTTCTTTCTTTCTGAATTTGCTTATAATGTAGGATGCCCTTGTCCTAGTTCTTATTTATCTTGCTATTTCTTAAATAAGCTTAGATATCTTTTTGTTTGTCCATTTTGGTATATAGTGTTTGTTTTTGTTATTATATAAAGAGTAATAAATATTAATAGACATATAGTAAAAGCTTCTAAGAGTTTTTAAAATAGTAGTTAGTTCTTGTCCTCATTAAAATGTGACTATGGGGGGTCAGAAGGATGGAGATTCGCCTGATCTGTTCTCTGCTACTTTTTTACCTATATATAGGTAGATAGATATTCTCATTGGAGTTTCTGCTCTGATTTGGGAAACATCTTATCAGTCTTGATATTAGTATAGACTTGCTAAGCTACCTTTGCTGTTAGGACAGTGAATCTAGGATCCTGGGAGAGCCCTTCCATCTCTGAACTCTAATGTCTGCATTCTGCAGCATCTAAGCATTTCTGGATTCTGCCTTTGTCTTTAGTTTCTAGGTTAGGAAGTCATTGCCCCACTTGGCCTTCACAGGTTATTGATGTAGATTTCTACCATCTTGAATGCATTTAGGGACAAATCACCCGCTATTCTATAAAGTGTCTCACTCTAGTTTTAAGAAAAATGGACAATATTTAAACACACTGTGCACCAGATCCTAGGATACAAATAAAGAAACCTTATTTCTGTTCTTACAGTGCTTGGAGTATAGTGTACACTTTTGTAATTGTAGTAGTTTTGATGATTAGATACCCATTTTATAGGTAGAGCCCCAAATCTGTTTTCCTTTATTTATGCTAGCTGGTGCTCTTTCTGTTCATTTAAGCCTCTGTCAATATTTGAGAATGCTTAATGTCTTAATTTATCCCAGTTATCCAAAATCTATTCTTCCTTATGTTAAACATCTGCAGTTCCTCCATGTATTATCAGTTGACCTAATTTTGAAGCATTTGTATTAACTTGTTCAAAGTTGTCTACATTTTTCTTCCGAGACTTGAATCCAAATGTGATCTGATCAGGCCAGAGTGTTCTTATTACATCTCTTATTCTGGACATTACATTGTTTTTACTATAATGTAACCCCCACCTTCCTTTTCTGGTTTTACCTTCATTATACTGAGTCACATAAAAAGCTTCAATTTGTCTTTCACATCTATTGTTATTAACACACATACCTTATGGATCTTATGCAGCTAATGCTTTAAATCCAAGAATAAATACTGATTTTTATTCTTCAGTTTTGTTTTATTTAAATTATTCACTTATGCAAACATGTTTTAACATGTCCATGATACATTTCTATACCTTGGTTTGTTAGTTTGAAATCCAAAATATTACTATCTCTCTGGACCTGTTTCCTTATTCCTGGAAAAGGGATTAGGTTGTGTTTTCATTCTAGCTACTTATTGTCTTATCTGATGTATTAGCTACCATTCTTAGTTCTGTGCAATTTGTACATTTGGTAAGTATGTTATCTAGTTTTTAATCTGTGTCTCTGGTCAAAAATTTTGGTCAAGTTATCCTGTTATGGCTTGTCATACCTGTGGAGTTAACAACTGAAGTCTGGAAATTCCTTTCTGTCTTGATTTGATAGATTTAAATTTTTTTTCTTTTCTCCCAAGTTAAATACCTGGGCCTACTACTTATAAGGTTTCAGTAGATCAGAGGAAACTAATGTTTATTGATTGACTGTTAATGTTACTGAGTCCAGTGCATTATCTTACAATCAAAAATTCAAAAGTATAAAAGCTGCTTAAAATAGTTTTAACATGATCTAACAGCATCATTATGAACAGAACATTATAGGTTATATGAATCTTAATTATTAAATCAGGGCATTTATTTAACAAGTCCTTTTTTTGGAATTTCCTTTGTGCCAGGCATCATGAATGAGTTCTTGCCTTTTAAGGGTATCTAGAGTGGGAACTTTATTGATACTTGTGTCTCTTTAAAAGTATTAAAAGTATACATATGTAAAATACTATGTTTGTCATAATGCTAAGCGTATTATTATTAGCTGGTTTGTCATGGCTGAAGAGAGATATGGATTTTACTGCTAAACATATACACTAGTTAAAAATTCATATAGTGTACTGCATTTTACTTGATATTCTTTTTTCAATTTTTTTATATTCTTTTTATTCAGTTTCTGATTGCCTTTAAAAATAGTAAAAGAATACTTCTTTCAAAATATTGCATTGACTTTAATGTTTTAGTGTTTTTCTGGTTTGTCATTCCAGAAAAGGGGTCCAATTTTATTTTAAATTTAGAGCCTAATGTTGAAATTTGAGGTAAGGATACAGAATGATGGTGTTATTAATTTATTAGGGGGATGTTTAAATGTGTTTGTTGGAATAGTACACTTGTCAATAAAAATGGACTTTGAAGTATTATAGTCTCAAACACTGTTGACAGCTCCAAAATATCCTACCTTCTCAAAATTCTCTGTTCTCTTGGCTTTTATTTAATGCTTCATTACCATGGTTTTCTTCCTTTATCTTTAACCATCCCTCCCTGCTTTTATAAAAAGAAAATCTTTATAATATTTTCTTCTTTCTGCCCCGTGAGTGTATGCAATTACCTAGAGCTCTGTGCTTGGTTCTTTTCAGCTGCTGTCATAACAATAGGGAAAGAAGATTAGAAGAGTCAGAAGGCCATATAGAAGACACAAGACTAAGAGGGAAGTAGGAAGTGGCAGTTGTTATATCATAATATGCTTTTTAAAGCAAAGTAGGTCATTTAAACTGAAGGCAGGGAACAGCTCCTAGAAAGTTTTAAACAGAAAAGTAACATCAGATTTATTTTTTTGTTATTTCTGATTTTCAGTTTTAATTACAAGAATAATACTTTTGAAAAATCCAAATATTGTATAAGTGTTATTAGTCTTTTCTCTCTTTAACTCTCAGGTCTACTTCCAAGTGACAAGTGCCGTTAGAAATTCTGAGATTATACTTTTGGATCTTATCTGAGTGTATAAATCATACAAATACAAAGAGGCATACTCTTTTTCTTTAAAGAAGAATGGAATAAAATCTGCATTTTAGAATGATTACTTTGTAATGTGGAATATAGATTGGAGAGAGGTAATAGTAGAAACAGTTTGGCCAGTTAAGAAACTGTTTTAGACTTTTCTTCCTATTACACAATATAAATTATATATTTTAATCCTTATTTACACTTACTTTTTCACACACACAAGAGAAAAAGAGTAGAGGAAGTGGGAGGAGTAGGGTAAGATGGTAAAAGAAAAAATATGTGATAAGGAAAAACATGGAAACAATGTCTTTGAAAACAGGGAAGGGTGGAGGGCCTAAGGCGAGGGCTGGGGGATCAGGAAAAATACGAATCTGATAATTCAAGTATAGGTACAAGATCCCAATGATGAATGTAACTGTATTGTATACCTAATATGTACCAATACATTTAATAAAGATTATTAAAAAATAATAATAACAAAAATGTCCTCAAAAAAACTATTTTGGAAGACCATTTAAGAGATGACTAGATTTGGGATGTATTTAAGAAGTAGAGTCAACAGGAGTAGAGTCAACAGGAGTTTTAAAACTCTTGGAGCGAATGGGGAGAGAAAGAGTGGACTGAAGAATGAAACTGAAGTTTTGGGCAACTGGTTAAATTCATTGAGATAGAGAAGAATAAAAGGGGAGTTGATTTTCTTGGAAGAAAGGAAAGAAGAGTTATATTTGGATATAAGTTTGGAATACTTATACTTTATTACAGTGAAATATATAATGCAGTTATACCTCGATTCACAATGCTTTTGTTTGCAAACAATTTGGTTTGCAAACAGAAGCATTTGGAAAATTTTAATTTTGTTTGCAAACCCTGCATCAAGTGATAAACACAACTGTGGCCATTTTTCCCACACAAATACAAATATGGCCATCTTTTCCAAAATTGTACAATAAATTAAATTCATGAACTGAGGTACCACTGTCAGAAAGGCAGGAGAACTTCCCATTTATGAGTTTTTAGTATCTACATGGAAAATACAATAATATAAATAGATTATCTTGTCTCAGGGAAGAATACACAGATGAGAAGATGGTCAAGGATGGAGTTTTGAAGAACTCTAACATTTAAGGGACAGAAAGAAGAATAGGAACATGTAAGGGAGAATCTCCCAGAGAGTTCATAGATTTGATATTCAAAACCATGAGAAGAGAATTTTTTGAGAAGAGAAAACTCAACAGTGTCATGCTGTGGGAAGTAAGACAAGGACTAACAAGTTTACTGGATTTGGGACCATTGGTAACATGATGAGAGCAATTTCTATGATGCAGGAGTAGAAACCAGGTTTCTGTCCCATGTGCCCCATATCTAAAAAGTCACTGAATCCTGTCACTTCTTTTATTATTGTCTTTCCCTTTCTCAGTAGCACTTCTTTCCATTTTTTTTTAGTACTAGACCGTTTACATAGTCTTCAAATTAATAGCAGTTTGAGCACCTACTCTCTCGTAGACTCTGTTGGAAATACAAAAACATGTAAGATTTGATTCCTTTTCCAAAGAGGGGCAAGTAAAGGGGAGAAGGGAAGTAGTTTGAGCACCTACTACATGCCAGGCACTTGATGTAGTATAACTCAGTGTTTCTTCACAGTAATCCTGTGAGGTCAGTACTATACCCCATCTTTCTTTTTTTAATAGAAGTGGAAGAAGATACTTAGAGCTTAAGTGACTTGCCCAAAGTCACACAGAGAGATAAAGCTGGTATTTGAACTGAGATCTGTTTGACTTCAAAGCCTATGAGTTTTATTTTATAAAGCTTTGCTGTCTAATCTAGTTTATGAGATAGTAAAATTGCACAAAATTTAGATAGTGGTCAATTTAAGCCTTTGCTCTGAGATAGCCATAGAGAAATGTCACTGTGTGATTGATTTAACTATAACATAAGTTAGCTGATAATTGCCAGACTTTGAGAAATTTTCAGAATAAAACTTTTTATCCCTTCTTGGTATTTTTAGTGCCTGGCAGAGAGTAGATGCTTAATAAATATTTGAATGAATTCAGAGGGAGAGATGATGGTAATTGGGGTCAGTCAGGCAGTTTTTAGAGGAGGTGGGATTTAGTCTGGGTCTTAAAAAACAATAAAACTTTGAAGGAAAGATGGGGGAGGGCATTGCAGGCAGGAGGACAGAATATGCAAAGGTTAGTGGGGAGGGAAGTATAAGGCAGAGGTCGCAAACAGGCAACCTGTATGCTGGATAAGACTTGTAGATTTATTTTGTTTGGCCTGTACACTGTCTTAGAAAAATTGGAATTAGTTATCACCTGTAAAAGTTTACATAAAAATCTTAATTTTCCAATACTATTGAAAAGTTTGAAGATCTGGTAGCCCTGACCTAACATTCCTGCATGAAAAATGAAAAAGCTGAGTAACTATCATTTACTCTACTATCACATTGGGTAGATGTTTACCCTTCATATGTAGCCAACTTTAATAGTGTATGTTTGCTGGCTTGGCCCCTATTAGCAAGTTTGCGACCCCTGATGTAAGATGTATTTGGGGGTTGGGGAGGTAGTGGGGTTTGGGAGGACTGTGAATAAAAGATATTGGGCTGGAATGAAAGGCTTTATTAATGTGAATTATTGAAAATATATAGATTAATTGAAAGCCAAATTGTGAAGGACCTTGAATGCCTCCCTTTAGGCATGGAGGAGCTATTGAAAGTATTTTGAATGGGGAGTGACATGTTCAAAGTAGTGTTAAGAAGATGAGTTTTGCAGTAGCTTTTGATAGGGGGTTCAGTTATGAGGCCTTTTGTAGTATTGCAGACATGAGGTGATAAGGACTGTCCTTAATGTTAGTGCTGAGTTATAAAAAAGGAGTGGAATTGATAGGGATTACAAAGGAGTAGTGACGAATTGTGGGCAGAGTAGTGAAAAATGGAAAAAGTAGGGTCATTAATAAAAGAGACAATACAGGAGTTAGTTTGGTTATGTTTTGCTTTGTTTTTGTTATTTTATTGTGGGGGCAGTTGGTGAGGGCAAGTGGAATGGAAGATCTTTTAAATGGTAAAATGTCTCTATCTTACATGTTGAAATTTTGACCTTGGTATAATTGAAGATCACTTCTGCTCTAAATACTAAACTACTAAAAAAGTAAAATGACTTACATGAGAGCTGGTTCTGTAGTTCAGGATAGTTTAGATGTCTATCTTGCCACTAAAGCACTGACTAAGCTGGAAATCACCTTCTTCTTGTGGCTTTGAGCATTTCACTCCACTATGGTCCTTCTAAATTCCATGGCTTAGTGCTCTGCTTATTTAAAATTTCTCCTTGTGTGCTACAATTACTAGATTTGCCATATTTATCTTTCAGTTGATGTGGAACATTCTCATGTTCGATTTCTGGGAAACTTGGTATTGAACCTATGGGATTGTGGTGGGTAAGTACCATCTGTTTACTTGTTTGTGAAGCTAATGGCAGTGACCATGGCATCTAGTATAATGAGTATGGCAAGTAATAGATACATTGGGTAGAATTACTTGGTTCTTGCTTAAGTAAAGACCTCTGACTTTTGTGTAGTTTTGAAAATGACCTCTGTAACGTATTAGCTAGCTCCTCCTAGGTATTTGTCATATAGGATAGAACAGCGCTCTTTTGCAGGGGCATAAATTAGGTATGTGTCTCAGATAGTCTGACACAAGTTCCACCATAATAGCTTGTTCTTACGTATTTCAATAATTATCTGTCTTAACACTGTAGATTGAACTTGGCACATATTATCTGGATAGTTACTCATTGTTTTAAGTAAGAGTAAGTAAGAGGTCTTCCTCTCATGACCAAGGCATTCACCAAATATCCCATCATAAATATGCACTTCATAAATATACACTCACTGTGTATACACTCATTGCGTCCTACCCTTTGTCCACTTGTATAGCTATACCAAAACACCAGTGTGGTGTGTTTGGTGCTTAAAAGTGTAGGTACTGGACTTAAATTGGGATTTGTGTTTTATCTATTAGCTGTGTTATCTTGGGTAGATAACTTAAATTCTCTTGAGTTGCAGTTTGTTCATTTTAATAATAGGGTTAGTAATAGTACCAGCTCATAAATGCTATTATGTATGATAATAAAATAATATATATATATATATGTAAATACTAGTGTCTAAAAAATAAATAGAAATTATTTTCAGCTTGTTGTTTCTCAGCTGCTAGAATAGAGCTAAACATAGATTACGTACTCAGTGAATTTTTATTCAAAGAATAATATAACCGCCAAATACTTTCTAAGACAATGACTCTATTCCTGCTAGCTCTCTCTATTTAAGTCCTTTCTCATTATTGTTGCTTCCAGTTTTCTAATCTATATCAAGGGATTAATCCAAGTTTCTGCTTTTAGGCACTAAAATGTGGTTTCATTATTATAGCTACGTTAGTTAAGATCCAGAGAGATTATGATTCTCCCAATGTCACACAGCTAATTAATAGGTGCAGAACTAGAACCTAGATTCATGAATTCCCCCACTTCAGTGCTACTATTTCTGATGTGTAGCTATTAACTGAGAACTTCTTGGGAAGTAGAACACAGTCTGAAGAACAAAGAAAAACATTTTACCAGAAAATTATTATTGTAGTCATTTTCATGTAAAGAATATTTGACTACTAAGCTATTCATTCATTAGGCAGATGTTCATTGGATATCTCGTACTCCTTTAAAACTAGAGAAACAATGGAAAACAGTAACAGACATGGTACTTACCTTGTTGTCTAGGGAAATGAATGTTATTCATTAGAAGCTCATGCAAACAAATATAATATTCTTGTGATAAGTGCTGGGAATTAATGGAATGTATTGGTCAAATAGTCTTTGATGAGTGGATTGACCCGAGTCAAGGGTGTCAGGAGTTGTTTCTGTGGAAGTATCAATTTAATTGAAATGTAAAAGGAAAGCAGAAGTTAATTAAGATGAAGGGTAGAAGAGTGGTATATGAGAAAGAGTAAGAAGCATGTGTAATGGTTCCATGGTGGTGATAAACCATGGGTCAGTTGAAGAACGGAGAAAAGGTAAGTGTGTTTAAAATGTGAGGGGAGAGGCAGAGGGTGGTGCATGTTGCACTTCAAGTTGAGGGTAAGACCAGTCATATTTGCTGTTATTTATTCTTTAAAGCGTTAAAATTATCTTTTTTATTGATCACGCTAACAAAAATGTATCAAATTTAGGAATAATTGAACTGAGAACTTGCTTCGCATCTCTCCATTTTTCCTACCAGACAAGACACTTTCATGGAAAATTATTTTACTAGCCAACGAGACAACATCTTCCGAAATGTGGAGGTTCTAATTTATGTCTTTGATGTGGAAAGCCGTGAACTTGAAAAGGACATGCACTATTATCAATCATGCCTAGAGGCTATTCTGCAGAACTCCCCAGATGCCAAAATTTTTTGCTTGGTACACAAAATGGATCTGGTACAAGAGGATCAACGGGACTTGGTAAGAAACAGAAAAGTTACTACATTAAATAGTTGACATACATTGCAAACTTTTGTAGAGATACAATTAAATTTGCACCATTCTTTTTCTCAGGAAGAAAGTTTCACAGTAAGCTTTCAAGTTGAAATCTCATTTAAAAAGAAATTCCCTGAGCACATTATTCATTTAGCAGGTGAAGTTTTCAGAATTAGGTAAGGAATCTGACCATGTGAATCACTAAAAAAATCTTTATTTTTTAAAAATATGTTTTCTGCCCCTTTTTTAATGTCAAAGCTAGAAGACCCACTAGGAGTGGAAGGTTGCTCTTATAATTGGATTGACCATTTCAAGGGTCAACCACATTGTGTCAGGCACTTCTATGCTAGGTCACTCATAGTTGGCACTTTCTTCTTTTATTGCATGGATAAATTAGCACACACAAATTTAAACCAGCAAAGACATAGTAGAGGGGGTGATGTCACCAAGATAGTGGAGTAGGAACTATCAGCCTTCTTCTATCTACCTCTCTACACAAAAACAAATATAGATAACTACCCATAAACCAAGAATAGCTCTGAGAGAGCTCAAGGGCTTATTATTAAAAAGATATAGTAGAATGAATAAACTCCTCCCTATCTGTAAGATTCTAGAAGTAGGAGATCAGAAACATAGTCTAGCTTCAATATGCTCAATGTAAGAGGATTGGATTTTAATGTCAAGATTAAAGAGATCTTCTCTACTTGCTAGGATAAAACTAAGGATAGCAGTTTTAAAATATACTAGTTGTATAGAACAATACAGTTCCTCCTTCGGTTGGAGTGTAAGGGTCAAAGGATATGCTTAGACTACAAGATTTTTTGGAATAGCTATGGTAAGGAGTGGTTTTTTTTTCCGTGACGAGGTATATGATTGCCTCTATTGTTTAGTATTTTGGTATGTCTAAATTAACTTACAAGCTTTCAAAAACTGTTTGATAGGGTTTCCTAGCAGACTCAGAATACTGGTTTTCAGTGCCAGTAGACTTTTTAGCTCTTTTGCACTTTCCCTCTCTCAGAAAATTAGGTGTATAATATGGGTCTTGAGTTTGTGAGGGTTTGATTGATTTGAATGATAATCTTTTTGTTTTCTAAATATTCATATAATTATTTCCAAAGACATATAAATATTCTTTCAGGGGTTTTAAGCTTAATTAAGGAAATCTTTAATGTCATTAATAACATAGACTTGGAAGTTTTAAAATAAAAATGGTTAAAGTGCTCCCAAAATTATCAATTTCAGCTCAGACAGATATTTCCTTGCATATGTTTATGTATGTTAGGATTTTCTAGAGAAACAGGACCAATCAGATGTTTGTGTTTGTGTGTGCGTCTGTGTGTGTGTGTGTGTGTGTGTGTGTGAGTGTGTGTATGTGTGTAGACAGAGAGGCAGTCAGACAGTTATGTGGAGATAATTATTTTAGGGAATTGGGTCAACTGATTATGGAGACTGGCAAGTATGAAATTTTGCAAACAGACCGACTAGAGCCCGAGGAAAGAATTGATGTTGCATCTCAAGGCAGAACGAAATGTGAAGGCAGGATTCCCTCTTCTTTGGATGTCAGTCCTTTTTTTCTTAAGGCCTTCAACTGATTGGATAAGGCTCACCCACATTATGGAAATTAATCTGTTTTATCCAATATATACTGAATTAAATAATAATCTCATCTGAAAAAAAACGTTGATAACAATATCCAGACTATGTTTGACCAAATGGCTGAGTACTGCAGCCCAGCCAAGTTAACCCATTAGGATTCTACCCTTGTTAACTTGACATTCATATACGTTCTGGAAACCATACTCAATCTCCAAATAAAGATAATAGTAGGGTCGTACTCCCACTTAATATGATATAACTATTCTATATACTATTAAAAAAACTTTAACCCTTTCTGCACAAGAGGATGTAAAGTCCTTGGGTAATGTTTCCTCTTCTATTTGCTCTCCTGTTATGTATCTTAAATATTATATTGACATTCATATACGTTCTGGAAACCATACTCAATCTCCAAATAAAGATAATAGTAGGGTCGTACTCCCACTTAATATGATATAACTATTCTATATACTATTAAAAAAACTTTAACCCTTTCTGCACAAGAGGATGTAAAGTCCTTGGGTAATGTTTCCTCTTCTATTTGCTCTCCTGTTATGTATCTTAAATATTATATAATAAACAGTATTTAAGTATAATATTGATATAAAATCTATATATCTTATGTTCACGAGAAAGGGGTAAGAGAAAAAGGCATGTTTAATATTTGTACACATATATTCATAACAAAATCAAGGAAGAAATGTGACAATTATAGTCCTTATTTGTCATGTAGTCATAACTGGTATTTATACCTTCCTTATTCACTTCTGGATTCTCTTTACCCACAGCAATCACTTCAGTTGGTTGCAGTTTCTTTTGAGTGACCTTAAGTCATTAGACCTAGTGCTTTGGACTATGGGGCCCTGCTAAAGCCTCTAAACAGCATTCCTCGCTACCACTAATACTTCAATTATTATTAGATTTCTTGGATGATACAGGCTAAGAGGCAGGGCAGCTTTCACAGCATTGTGGACCTGTTGAAAAGCCTTCTTCTATTCTCTTCCCCACTCAAAACTGGAAGACTATTGGGTTACTCAGGAAATGTGGTAGAGTAATATACCCAAAAGAATATATTGCCTCCAAACTCTGAAGAGCCCTGCTAGATATCATGCCTCTTTCATGATTTTAGGATGGGCCAGATGGAACAATTCATCCTTCCATTTAGGGGGGCTATCTCAGCATGCTCCACACCACTGAATTTCTAGAAATTTTACTGAGAATACTCCTGTCTTTCCAGTAAGTCTAGAATAGCTACCTTGTGCTCACTGGGTCCTACTGGTATAATATAAATGCAAGACAATGAAATCCTAACAAAGGAGAGTTGACATAAGGGTAGAGAGTTGTTATCTCCCTAAAATAGGTCAATGATAGTGTATTTCTGGCTTTGCAACCTGAAGGTAAACTGGTGGGTTTTATGGACAAATATGGAGAAAAATGCATTTGTAAGAAAAATAGTGGTATATAGGTGTCAGGGGATATGTTAGTTTGCTCAAGCAATAAAAGCACATATGACTGTAATTTTAGTCACTACCTTGTTGAGCATCTGATAATCCACTGCCCAAGAAGATCTTCCTTTTCCAGAGGCTGAAGAGGCAAGTTTAATGAGGATGTAGGTTATGTCACTAATCCTGCATCTTTCAAGTCTGATGGTGAAACTAATTTCCAAAATCCCTTCAGGAATTCAGTATTACTTTCGCTTTACTGTTTTCCAATGGTTTTCACTTGAATTTTCCTATCCACAATAGCCCTTACTCTTCAGGTAAGGGAACTAGGGTAAGAATATTGCCAGTTGCTAAGTGTGTCTATTCCAGGTATGCATTCTGGAGTTTGGAAAATAGCTATAGTATGGCTGCAGCAACTCCCTGGGTTCACTATATGACAAAGCTGAGCTAAAACTTCATTGAGCACTTGACATTCATAAGCCATAGCTAGTGGACCACAGCAACATTTTGGTTACCTGGAATTAGTGTCAGTTCAGAGCCTAATACTCCCTAAAAGAGCTGAGCTTTTCATTTTCCCCAATGTGCAATCACCCTGGTAAAAGCCTGCACCTCCATTTGGGGTATGCAGGAAAATTAATGGTATAAATTTTTGGCAGTATAGTTCTTAAGTGGACTCAGTGTCTCTTTCATTCAAGGGGCTTTAGGTCTATAAACTGGCATGATGACACAGAGACTGAGAGAGGTGGAGGGATTGGTTTATTTTAGGGAATTGGTTTTACTGACTATGAAGGCTGGCAATTCTGAAGCCTATAGGACAGAGTAGAGATCCATTGAAAAGTCACTGTTGTAGTTGTAGTTAGAAGGCAACCTGGAGGTAGAATTTGTTTTTCTTCAGTGTATCTGTCTTTTTCTCTTAAAGTCTTCAACTGATGTGATGAGGCCCACCCTCTTTATTTAGGGTAATCTGTTTTACTTAAAATCTACTTATATTTGAGCATTTAAATTAATTTATTCTAAAAATACTTTCACATTAGTATCCAGACTGGTATTTGGCCAAATGTCTGAAGACTGTGGTCCAACTAAGTTGACACATAAAATTAACCATAACAGTGCATCCACACATATAATAAATCCACCCATTCATAGAAAAATATCTGTGAATATATATATTTGTATATAAATATTTCCCATATATATGCTGGCATATATACATAGAAACATCCAAGAAGAGTAGAACTTTTGTATATATGAGAAGTTACACCTAACAGTGAAGAAAATACAGTACATTTGTTAATAATATATATGAGTGTACATATATAAGTATATGAGAGAAAGATACATAGAAAGGTTAAAATATTTTGATGCACAGAATCTTGATATAGATATAGCCATCTTAAAATGACACAGGTTTGGTGATATAGATATAGATATAGCCATCTTAAAATGACGCAGCCTTAAGACTCTCTAGTATGATAAATTTTTGTTTTCCAACATAGTATTCTCCATGAATATAGTGCACACAAGCAGCATAAACCTGAAGAATTCTAGTATCCATTAACATTTTAGACCTGACCTGAAATAATTTCTACCATCCTAGTTTGTGAAGCAGCTCCTGATTAAAATATGCTAAAATAATATGGGCATGGTGGCGCATGCCTGTAATCTCAGCACTCGGGAGGCTTAAGGCAGGAGGATCGCTGTGAGTTTGAGACCAGCCTGGGCTACATAGTGAGTTCCAGGTTAGTCTCAACTACATAGTGAGACCCTGTCTCAAAAAACCAAAAAAATAAAAAATAAAAAATAAAATAAAATAAAATATACTAAAATAGTTACAGATTAGATTTCCAGGTGAAAGAGGAGAGCTGTTATATGCTGATCAGAATGTTGGACTTTTTAATTCAGATTTTTAAAGAGCGAGAAGAAGATCTGAGGCGTTTGTCTCGCCCATTGGAATGTTCTTGTTTCCGAACATCAATTTGGGATGAAACTCTTTATAAGGTGTGTATGTTTCTGGGTTCTCTCATTTTTAAGATCATGAAAAAGAAAGCTAGAAGGATATTAACAAAACTAAAAGATTTTAAGCTATTTCATAGCCATCTAGATTTGTTGTACTAAAAAAATGTTGCTTGAAAAATATCAAGCTAGATTTATTGTACTAAAAAAGGAATAATCTACAACAAATTGGTTGAAGAATATCAAACTTAACATTAAGAGATTTTAGTTTTGATATTAGATTGGGTCAACATTGTTACAAAATCACTCTGAACTAGCCACTTTGGTAATGATTAATTTAATACTGATCTTTGTGATACCAGAAGTTCACTTACTGGCCATCATCCATTCTGACTTATTGTAGTCTCGTTGCTGATTGGACTTGTGTCTAGTGCTCAGTTACTGCTATGTGATAATGGTATAAGCTAATCTTCTTTAAATTCAAATAGTAACAGTAGAAAAATGTTTAGTAGAGAGGTTGGAAAAAAGAGTCTTAGAATGAGACATGTTATGCCTAGAGGATAGCAGCTTCAACTTTCATGCCAAATTGGAGACCAGCATTCTTTCAACCAGAAGGACTGTTCCCATGGCTGGAATAGATGCCACTCTACTTGCAATAATTTATAGAGATTATAACAGTAGTTCTGTATGGATGAAGCTGAAATTAACTTGTTGGCACATAGGCTCCTGCTTCTTCCCTTTTTCCTACTGATACAGTGATTTAAGGATTGGCTCATTTTGTGTCTTCCTGTGGTCAGACCTTTCCTTCAGACTGCTTCTGGTACCCATTGACAAGTCTGATTCTAGGTGGCAAAGGATCCTTCTCTGTCACTGATAGCTAAAGCCTCAGTATCAACTGCATCTGACAAGTATCTACAACCAGAAGCACAGAAGCCTGACTTGCCAAGGAGAAATAACATTGGACTTTAAAAATAGCCATTGCTTAAAAAAAAACTAATTCATTTTTTCCAAATATTATGTTGACCCAGCCTCATTCTAATAACATCATTTTGAGATACCTGTCTAGGAAGTACTGTTCTAGATTAATATGGGCCGAATTTCTCTCAAAGCCTTATTCCCATAGAACAGGTAACCGTGAATAAGGATGGACATGACGCAATGATAAGAGCCAACTGCGGTGTGAAGGATGGCAATACATAACACGACCAAAGACAATTGGCTAATCACAACACTGCTGTGAGTGAAAATGTCTCTGCTGTGGTTAGCTTTGGTGCCTTCTCCAAGGTAAATTCAGCAGTGACATTAACACCGACCTGGGAACCTGGAACCTGAACTCCTATGCCTAAGTGATAAAACTAATTGGAACAGAGACATGACACTACTATCTCTTAAATCAATGTTGCATAGAACTGACTTAAATTTTTATATTAAGTTTTATTCAGTAAGCACTCATTACCTTTCTGCTTGATGCTATTGCATATTAAGATCAGGTTCCTGCCCTTTAGTACGGGAAAGAAGAACACAGAACACTTAACCAGAAAAATTGGAGTGGAAGGAAGTATAATGGAAATACAAATAGAAGAGCCTTAAGAAACTTGAGGGAGGGTGTGGTTAATTTCAACTGCTTACATTAGTCATACTCTGGATGAATTTAGTTTTAGGCAAACACTGTGGATCTTTGTAAGTTCAGTTAGATCAGTAATTTTTACAGATGACAACAAATCTTTGAGAATGATAATGCCACTAATTTCTCTTGTACTGATTTATACCATCGAGGGGAAGGACCATTTGTCCATTTGGCCCTAATATTTTTCACAAAGTTGATTCTTGGATGTATACTGGTTGAATTAAATATTTGTTGAATGTACAGATTAGAAGCTTTCTAGGCAATACATCACATTTGCAACCTTTTTTCTAAGGCAACATGATGGCATTAAATTACTTGTTTACTTTTAAATATCGATGGAAAGAAGTTTCTTCAGAATTTCATAAAAGTGTGTGAACTTTAAAAATTCAACCATGGGAAAGTCAAATATTAGCTTTATTTTCTCAATTCATGTGTTATATTTAATGTCAGTATTTGGGACTCATATCATCATATTTTGCTGTCTCTATATTATAGTGTATGTACTCATTTCAAAGGTCAGGGCCTTGCTACCTGTTAGTAATATTATACTGTGCTTTTGTCCTGTCAGGCTTGGTCCAGCATTGTTTATCAGCTGATTCCCAATGTTCAACAATTGGAAATGAACCTAAGAAATTTTGCTGAAATTATTGAAGCTGATGAAGTACTTCTGTTTGAGAGAGCTACTTTTCTGGTAAGAACACTTCACACTGCACCTTCTTTTATTCAGCAACTGGGAATGGCACATTTCCACTTGCAGGAAGAACCTTTTTCCCTTTTGCCATTACTTCAGCATGCATAGCATTATTTATAAAGTAGTATTGTCAACAAATGATTTGAAAGAGTTTTGGTGCATAGCCCTTTAGTGGGCAAACTTAGATTTTGTCAGGTATGCCTTACAGAGTTTAAATTTTTTTCTTTTAACAACTGTTCATTTATGATAAAGGATTCCTTTTTCTTATTCACCTTTGTTATGATATTTAGAGTATTTTCTCTTTGAGAGAACTCTCTTCCCACTTTCTCCAAAAGACTGAATTGAAGGGCTGCGGATTTAGCTCAGTGGCACAGTGCCTATCTCTCAAACACAAGGTCCTGAGTTTCATCCTTGTACTGGGAAAAGAAAAAGACTGAATTGAGAACTCTTAACATGGTAGAGATGTAGTAGCCAACTCAGTGCTCTAAGAGTTCAAATGGAGAAGAGAAAGGGGAAACAGGCATGTTACTGTTTTTACTTTTCATATTAACTTAATTTAGCAAAGACCCTACTTTTTGTACAACCCTAAGCAGGAGACACAAAATCCAGTATTATATGTGTGTTTAAAATAACAATAGGAAGTAATTTGAGATGTCAGAACACATTGCATAAATAAATGCTATCTAGCTTAATTTAATGCTAAAATCAGATCCCAGTAAAGAATTTGCTTTTTAGCTTTATCAATGCTTGATTATTTTAGACACATTTCTTAATATCTCTGAGCTTGCTTCCTTTTCTGTAAGATGGGGAAAATAATATCTATATTAGAATTAATCTGTGGATTAAAATGGTACAAAATAACATTTAGCGCCTAGCACAAGCTTTGTCATGTAGGTGGCAAACTATTAAGCATTAGTTCTTTTTGCTGCTGTAGCATTAGAGAGCAAAAAACCTAAAATGCAGCTTCCCCACCCCACCCCCTTCTTTTGTGGAAACATTATTTATTTTTCCTCATTGAGTTTATTGGCACATTTTAGGTATACAGTACAGTTACACTCATTATTGGGATCTTGTACCTTTACATGATAGGTCTTGGTTCTCATTTTTTCCCCTTGTCCTTGCCCTCCCTTCACCCCCTCTTCCCCTCTCCATTTACAAACACTTTATTTCCATTTTTTCATTTTCTCATATTTTTTTCTTTTCCCTTATTAGCTTTCCCCTACCCTTCTCACTGTGCCTACACCTTTAGCCCTTTTCTTCCTATTTCACATTGCCCATTATGGAAACAGTATTTGTAACGACAGCAGTATATGGGAGCCGTCCTTCCTGCTAACTGGTACAGCTGAGTCAAGGAGTCCTAACTAGAATGTTTTCGCTGCAGCTCACTGACACTGGTTGCTTGCTTGGATTTACTACTCTCAGGCCATTTTTTTTCTGCTAATGTGAGTAGTAACAATCAAGTAAGCTATTAATGTGCATGGCATGACAGAATCCTGCTTGAGCAGCATTTCCCTGCCATATCTGCCACACATGATCACAGAGGATAACCTAATGTAAGCTCTCTACTCATTAATAGTAGCAGGTAGCTTTTGTTTCTCTTGAAGACCAAGTGTAAATGTGATTGACTATTTTACTGAGGGAGTTAAATCAAAGAAGGTAGATTTCTTCTTTCATTGGTCTGGAATTGTATTTTGAAAATATCACATTTTCCCATGTAATTTCTCTGTGAATTTTTTTCTGGTGAATGACTGTGTTGTCTTTTACTAGAAACTTTTCATCTGTGTATTTAGCCTTTAAAATACAGGTGTAGTTTTATTAAAATCTGGAAATGTTAGGGAAAGCATTTTCAGTTGTTATGAATATTCATCCTGAATAGATTTATTATGATAGTTCTTATATTTAAATATCTAGTTAAACTTTTTAAGTATAATCCCAAAATTATATTGACTTCACTAAATTAAATACATTACACTTCACGAACAGCTAGATATTTTTACTTAATTTCCTTTTTGATTTGCATTTTTAATATCAAAGACCATCCCATGAAAAGTTGAAATAAGGTGAACATTTAATGATTAAAATAATGAAGAAAGAACATTGTGAAGAAAAATACAAATGTTCCTTTACTTAGTATGAAGTTATGTGCTGATGAAACCACTATAAGTTGAAAATGCATTTAATATACCTATTCTACCAAAAATCATAGCTTAACAATGCAAGTACACTGAAAAGCATAGCTTGTTTACCCCTGTGATCTCATGTCTAACTAGAAGTTATGATTCACTGCTGCTCCTTAGGATCAAAAGAAGAGTAGTAAACCATACATCTCTAGCCTGGGCAGATTTAAAGTATGATTCATGCTGAATGCATATCATTTTCTCAGCATTGTAAATCATCATGTCAAAGACCACCTGTAGAGAATTCTTAAATGATCTAATACATTTATAACCAAACAATAATGTATGGATCATTCAAATGGATGTTAAAATCGCATATAGTGTCGACAAGTATATGCATAGAGGGCAAAAGACAATAAGTCGTGTGACAAGTCTACCCTGAAAGTGTAGATGACCAAGAAACCAATAGATATCTTCTTTGAGTAGAGGCAGAGGGTGATATTAGTAGTTTGCATGCATTCAAAGGATAATACTCTTTTTCATAGGTGATTTCTCATTATCAGTGTAAAGAGCAGCGAGATGCCCATAGATTTGAGAAAATCAGCAACATTATTAAGCAGTTTAAACTGAGTTGCAGGTAAGATATCTTGAGGTATGATCTATTAATTTCCAGAAAAAAATGCCATCATTTTCTGAGAAATTCAAGTAGCTATGCTTGACTACATTGATGTGTTCACAGTACTTCCTTTAATCAAAAAGAAAAACTCCAAGGCTGCCTACAGTTTACTGAAGGGCAGGCCATGATCTTTAATTCAAATATAACTGGTGCAGAAGCATATGAATAATATTTAAGTAAAGAGCCCTTTCAAGATGTTTGGTATGATTTGTACAGAAATAAACAGAATATCCAAGACAATTTGATAAGGAAAGAAGAATTTGTTTCACTAATTGCCAAAATTTTGTATGAAACTTAAGATTCAGAATTGATTGATTCAAAATTGATACAGAAGGGCCGAGAAATTTCTAATCATCTTGTATCATCTTTGATTAGATAAGACTTGAATCAGCTTTGTTAATATAGGAAAAAGGAATGGCTAAATATCACAATTAAATAAAGATTTGAAAATGAAAATTCTTCTCTTGGTAAACTTTGATGCCTGGAGAGTGGAGATAAGTTTATCTACTTTACATCTCAACATACTTTGAGACTTTCTAGACTTTTTTACCATGTTTAAAATAATATTAAATGACACACAAATATCATTACTATGTTTTCAAAAGAATGAATCATTTCTTAAATTCAAACCTGAAATTGTAAAGATATAGTCATTGATCTTAAAGATAGAAAATTTGACATTATTCTTATATATTAGAATAATATGTTATGCTTAAATATTAGTGAAAACATTTTTATTAGTATTTTTAACATATATATCTAGGTCTATTTTCAATTCTTAGTCAATATCAAGTCCTAACATACTTGCCATTTTAGTAACTTACAGAACATTTTAAAGATGGATGTGGTGGAGTGGAGGCTGAGATAGAAGGGTCACAAGCTCAAACCCAGCCTGGTTAATTAAGCAATTTAGCAAGATTTTTGTTACAAAATACAAAATTTTAAAAAGGGCTGGGAATGTAACTCAGTGAGAAAGCCCTGGGTTTGGTCTCCAGTTCCACAAAAAAAGTTAAATTCATTCTTAGAATGTGTTTGGAAAATGTTATAATGATGTGGTGAATGGATTATATAATACTATAAATTATTTAACAAAATATAAGAACTTATATTTTTTATTATTTTATGTTTTAATCGCTTTTCTCATTTCTTCTGTAGCAAACTGGCTGCCTCTTTCCAGAGTATGGAAGTCAGGAACTCGAATTTTGCTGCTTTCATTGACATCTTCACATCTAACACTTATGTGATGGTCGTGATGTCTGATCCATCCATTCGTAAGTTTAAACTTAGCTGGCATAATTTCAAAGTCACATGCTTTTTATACTAAAGAATTGTCCTAGAGGTAATACTTTATCAGCTACTCAAAAACTATTACCAGGTTTGGTGGCACATGCATGTAATCCCAGCACTCAGGAAGCAGAGGCAGGAGGATCACTGTGGGTTCAAGGCCAACCTGGGCTACATAGTGAGTTCAAGGCCAGTCTGAACTACATAGTGAGATCCTGTCTAAAACAAAACAAAACAAAAAAAACTATTTTGCAGTTGGGATAGTTGTGCAACAGTGTGAATGTACTTAATCTCATTTAACTGTACTCTTAAAAATTGTAAACATAGTAAATTTTATGTTACATATATTGTACTACAATTTTAAAACTAAATACTAGTTGTGAATAGTATTTCTTTAATAGATTTATATTTTGAAACTGAAAAATAACTTAGGTTCTGTCATATTGTTTTTCTTAATGGGAACTTCAGAAAGCAACTCACTAAATCCAGGGATTTTAAAGAAAAGAGAACCCAAATCCGTAATTTATGTTCCATACAGTATGCATTTTTAAAAGACTAGCTCGTATAACCACTGAGCTGTTAATGATGAATAAGTTTATATGTCATTGCATATATCCCTCTGATCATATTCCCATATTTCTATTTTGTCAAGAAGGGAAGCCTTTGGTGCTTCTGTACTTTAATAGCCATTCATTACCACCAAGATATTCTCAGAAGTTTAAGTCATCTCTTATCCACTAGCTTTTCCTACTTTAGATTAATATTAAAATATGACATGAAGTAATGGGTTTTGTTTTATTAACCCAAACTAAAAGATTTTGGAAATTTTATGTTTCAAAAATGATCAAATCTGCTTCTTCAGAAAAACCTTAGTAACTTAGGACCTCTAATTTTTGTATGTTTTCTGTGACACGCACTGAAGGATTTGGCTCTCTTTTGTTTATTTGTGTTTACTAGTCAGGCATTCCTTTGGCTGCCCATATTTATCCTCTTGGCTGTCTCCCCACCCCTACCCTCAGCTTCTGCAGCTACTCTGATCAACATCCGAAATGCCAGGAAGCACTTTGAAAAGCTGGAAAGAGTGGATGGACCAAAGCAGTGTCTTCTCATGCGCTGAACATTGCTGATATTGTTTCACACAGAAATTCAAACACTGTATCATAATAAGTATTAATGTTGTATTCATATATGTAGGCTGTCTCTGAAATGTTGTGATGCTTACCACTTTTATTCCTTCTCTACTCCCCAGTCTTAACCATTAACCTAGAATGCTATTTACTCAAATAGCCAGTGAGGAGTTAGAAGATGAGCTGTCCATGAAATTGGTGTAACATAAAACTAGGTCAGATATATAAGTGTTCTGATAACACGGTTCTAAAAGTGTGTAAGTGTTGTGATAGCCTGGTTCCAATAGTTGTGTATGCTAAAGCCTTTCCCAGCATTCTCTTTTATTCAATATTAGACAGTAACATAAGTTTAGAGTATTAATGTTTTCTCAGCATGCATTAAAAATATTCCTTAACTTCAATTATAAATAAACTTGCTGTTAGGGATTTCAGTGTCTGTTTTTCTTTACTTTGTTTCTTCAACTTTGCTGTAAGAAAGTGCAAAGTAATCTGTTATTCTAGTGAAGAGAACCTGCTGTAAAGAATGAGAGATTAGAAACATTTAGAGCTAAATGTATGCACATTCAGGCCATACTCTTTAAGTGAAATAAATAGGACACACATGTATAAATACCGAATAGTTGCTTTTGTGAAACTGAAAGTGTAAATAAGGATCAAAATGTATAATAGATACTGTGAAATAGGAAGAAAAGGGGGGAAGGGGAAGTGGGAAAGGTAGGAGAAAGGAAAAAAAGGAAAGGAATAAACATGGAAAAATGGAAACAAAGTCTTTGTAAATAGGGAGGGTAGAGTGGTTGAAGGGAGGGCAGGAGAATGGGGGAAAATAAGAATCCAGATATATTGCATAAAGGTACAGATCTCCAATGATGAATGTCATTATATTGTATACCTAAAATGTACCATAAATTTAATTTAAAAAAGAAAAAATACAAAATATAGTTGGACGGAGAATGGAGCCACATTATTGCCTTAAAACTATGCAGAAGGCTTTAGATGTATGGTGTATAATACGATAGGAGGTTGGAAAACTTTGTCGGCTTTTTGAGCAGAGTAACTATGTGAAAACAATTCTGAAAGAAAATTAAATGAGACTGTATGGATCAACAGCAATTGGGAAATTTCTCTTTGTAATCCAGGGTGGGTGTCTGGATTGAAAGTCTGTTCCAGGGTGCAAGTGGAAAAAGAATAATAAAAAAAGTGGATGGAAAATAGGATTTATTAGATGAAAGCCTTCTTTCTTTGAGTTCCAGCTGTGGTTAATTTTATGTATTCTATCATACCTAATAGTGTGTAACCTTCATTATTCTAGTCAAGCAGTATGAAAACCTTTGTTAAACTGTATTTAACTTTTATTCTCCAAGAGAAAAATATGGAATGCTATGAACTCTTAGAAATGGATTTTGAGAACAATAACTAGAATTAAAGCTTGACCTTTTTAATTTCTATTGATAAGATGACAAAACACAAAATCTTTTAGGGAATCTACTGCACAGTAGACTCATCTTGTTTTCCAGTTTCCATGTCAAAGAAAATTCTTCCGTATTACCAGCCTCTTACCTTTATCTTAGTTTACTTTTTGCTCTTGAAGGATGAGTAGAGCTTTCACTGAGCAGTGATGAATATGTTTCTTAGGTAGCCTACATTACATGGACTAAAACTCTTAAGTTTTAAAAGAACTTTATGAGACTTTTTATCAATAGCTCTATTAATCTTCTGTAGAAGAGTTTTAGTTAGATATTCCATATTCTTTTTTTTTTTTTTTTTT